CAACGAACGATAGAAGACAGAATAACCTAAGTTTACAACATCGACTCACCAATATGCGAAATTTTACAACATGTATTCACCCACCTATCCACAATTGAAAATTCTAGAAGGAAAGAGTCAAAAAAATACTTTATAAAAATACATAAACACATAGAGAAAGTGAATCAGATAATATTTTAGAAAACATTGAGAAATATATTACAACATAAAAAAGCCAAGAACTCATCGATCACTTGCATGATTGCACCTCCTTTCCCGTGTAACCCATATTAGGTCTGAAGCAAACGGAGACTATGCCTGACGATAAACAACAACAAAACAGCTAGATACCAACGTGGACTAATGAAGAAACCCAAATCAGGGAAAATAGAAATAGGGAGAAAAAAAGAAACATAAAGCCGCAACGACCGAAACAGAGAGAAGCTCAGCTTAAACTTCTTCTCCAATTTTTTGTTTTGCTGATAGATAAGGTAGCTTTTTCTTAATCCCCTGAATAATCGCCTCCATAAGATCACTATCATTTCTGCCGTACAAAAGAAAAAAAAACAACCCATTTCTTCACACTCTGTTAAGTTAATATGTTTTTAAAAAAAATCATAGTACATATATCTGGTTTATTGTTGGTTAAGGTTATATTTGGTTTATGCTTTATTCTTATTTTAGTACTTTGTATACAAGGAAACTTTATTTTGTTCATTCACATTTAATGAAGGAGTTACACAAATATCGGAAAAAAAATGTTACCTATGGTACCGTGAGGTGAAGCCGGGCCTTCTAGCAACAGACCTTAGACATCCCACGACGTGATCGGCTAACGGATAATTTTGTCTCCCTTGTTTCCTCACCGTTTCATTGAAACATTTCCCGAATCTTCCTTCCAAATTGCTAACTTCTTCAATGTTCACTTTGTAGAATATTGGAAGCACAATGAGTTTCCCTTCGCTTATGCACTCATGGATGATCATCAGCTCGTCCAAGCACTGTTGTGACTCTGCGTATTTGTCAGAGAAGATCACAACGGCGAGTTTTGAATTCTCTTGAGGAAAAGTTGCTCATGGTGATGAGTACCTCTCCTTTCCCACTGATCATCACTGTCGATCAAAACGTTGACTCGTGCATCTTTCAAGGCCTTCACGACATGGCTAACAAAGCCTTTTCGTAAGTCGTTTCCTTGAAAACTTATAAATATTTGAGGTTGTGGTCGGCGTTGGAAAAGTGGCATCGCTATGGGAGTCAGATGGAGCTTGTTTAGGCAAAGAGAGAACAAATAAACTTCATAAAAATTATTGGTGGTTTATTAATATGGAAGTCATACGTGACTGCATAGCTTTCTAGAGTCATATATAGGTTTCATTTAAAACTAACAAGACTTCC